CCTTACTATGGTAGTCTCAGTACAACTATGTTTACTTACCATGTTTCTCTCTAGCTTTTCTGATGGTGGTTCCTGAGATGAGAAGATCCAGGAGCCCTGTTCGTAGCCCAGCCGTGGCCGATAGCAGAGCGGGTCTCTCCAGTGCACGTGCAGCCTTCCCAGGGAGAGGGGCTCATCCTCCCGTGTCTCCAGTTGAGTGCTGGGCTTCCCGTTTGTCCCAGGTCCCTGCCAGGCTGTGTGGACTCGTTCCCCAGTGCTGCAATGCCTCTCCAGGTCCATTAGTGTGCTGAGAAGTGAAACCTGTTGTCTTGTCTCAGCTCCTGGGGAGGTGCTTCTCTTACAGTTCCTGATCTTCCAGGCATTTGATTTTTGCTGACTCCCATCTTCTGGACTTAGGAGCAATGCCACGGAGCTATTCTGGTAATGTTATATTAAAGTTCTTGTTTCCCTCTTTGTTTTTACAAAGGAAACTTGAAGACAGCTGGAACAGAGTGCAGGATGAGTCTCTTAATTGCGTGCATTCATTTAAAAACCACCCCACAACCAAATCTGTACATCAGAATCTCACAGTTTCAGAATAGTTTGGTGTTGGGAGTTAAACATGAAGGCATCCCTTCTCAGAGTGCTCACAGGCCATTCCTGTGGGGTGTGTTGTTCATGTGGCCCCTGAGGAGGGAAGCAGATTGTGGAGCAGAGCTCTTGGCTGTTTGCAGTGACAGTGATGAGCAGAGCTTGGCTTGCGTTGATCAGGCACGTGCTTCTCCTGCCTGCACGCAATCTCACGTGCTCCCCTGGAAAGTGTCTTGTGTTAGTATTTTTCCATCTTTGCACTTAGCAGCCTCATGTCCACAGTGTTTAAAGAAGTTTAGCTTGGGTTCTTGTTCTTTAAATTCTGGTTTATGTCAAAGCTCTTGGGAGCTGGACAGCCAGAATAGTTGTGTGTGTAGGGTAACATTGAGAAATCTTAAGCCTCCACTATGAATTCTGAGAATTGAATCTTTGGTTGTTTGGGGTTTTTTTTAAATAGAATTTGAAGGTCTAGTTTACTATTTCCTTGCTTCCACTGGCACCACCTTGTATAATGTTTTCCATAAACAGATCAATTTCCTTGTTAATAATAGATTAATTTTTTTAATCCTTCCCAGAATGGCAGCTGCATTTAGGTTGCTCCACACTCTCACTGATTCTGAAGCTTAGCAACTTTCTTTTAACTTCCAGCACAAAGGTATTAATTTGTTCTTAGGCCAACGTTGTCCTTCACCTTTGAGTTCTTCTCCCCCTCTGTTGTAAGTTCTCTCCTTCACCCTAATGCATATATATTTTTGTGTCCTCACTTCATCTGCTCTGCCAGTCAGTCTGTGGTGGTTTCCCTTGCAGCACAAACTGTTCCCTGGCCATTCTAATCGCCTTGCTGTGCCTCTTCAGGCATGGGTAGGTCACTAGAGTCACGTGCCTTATCTCAGCTGAGATCTTGTGCTCCACACAGTCATGCTGGTACTTCTCCATCCCACTGGAGAGTTCCCTGTGATCTTGTTTGTCCCTTTCTTCAGAGTTACCATGTTGATAATGTACAAGCATCCAGAGATCAAACAGTTCATCTAGGCTCTTCGGCTCAGTTCCACTACTGGAAAGGGCTAACTGGAAGTTCTTGTTACTTGTCTCTTAAGTGCATAACCACGCAGTTTTGTATGTCCAGACTTCATCTAGTTTCTATTATGTCAGCCTGGATGCTTCTCCAGTTCCTTGTGGAAACTCTAGTCCTCCCTGCATTGACGGTTCCTCGTGAAGGTCTGTGTGATTCAGAAGTCAGTTGGGATTCCTATCAAATTTAGACTGGTACCTGGACAAATTGCAGCAAATTTAACTTGTTTCCCAAATGTCTCTAACTTGGAACACATTTCTGTTTTAACTTTAACCAGAAAACCAAACAAAATTCAGTTATGTAGATGCAGCTGATGTTAATCTAACTACCCTGCTCAACCTGGCTGCCTGTGATACACGGACAGTTGTCTAATCACCTGATAACACAAATGCTCAGATGTCCAGAACTAAGGTTCATTGAGTGCTCATGCTTTGATTCTCTATTTTATTTCTTTTTCCTTGCAAAATTATCACTCTCATGGTGGATTCACTCTGGTGGTAGTGCTGAGCTGCTTTTTGATGGAAAGGTGATGGGGAGGAAAAGAGAACATATATTTTTATAGACACTGGCTTTGGTACTCCTTCATTAGTAACCCACATATTAGTCTGCAGCAGACCATTCTGATGGTACTTCTGTTGCCAGCTCCTGAAGATGCTCGCTGTCAGGTACTGCACAGCTGGTCTTTCAAAATAAAGGAGACAGAAAAGCCTCCATTCATGTTGTATAGCAGGAGAAGCAATTCTTAAAGAAGTGTCCTCTTGCTTGTTAACTTCAGAGCTGGCTTCTAGGCAAAAGGGATGGGGATTACAGCCCAGGGTGTCTGTAGCAGCTTTGCTGATAGATGCTTGAGAAGATGCTCTGTGTACTGAACCAAATCTCTGTCCACTAGGTTTGAGAGCACTGTGCAGGTTGGCAAACTGCAGGACCTTATCAACCGAAGTAAGATGGCGAGGTGTAGAGGACGATTTGTTTGCCCTGTCATTCTGTACAAGGGAAAGGTAAAGCTTCATGGGTTACCTGTCTTAACTTAGAGAATGACCTTCCTCCCTGCTGTTTGAACTGTGCAGCCACGTCTTCAGTTGGTTGTCACCTTTCCAAATGCTGTAAAAAAAAAAATCTGTTCTTAGGTATGAGCAGGCAGCCTGTAGCAGTAGGTAGCATTTGCTGTCTAGGCTGCATAAATCATCTGTGGGGACTTCAGGCTATTTTACCCCACCATGTCATGGGCAGTGCACCAAAGAGCTAACGTTTTTCTCCATATACGTGTCCCTTCTGAAGGACCAAAGATATTTGATCTTTGAGAAGGGAAAGGCAAGTGTTGTCACTTTCTGCCCCTTACTCTTCCCAGCAGTGGGCTCCCTTTGAATAACTTTTCTCTCCCAAGTTTCACTTGTGTGTTCCCTGGGGAGGCAAGATTGCATAAATGATCTTATGAATGTGTGGGCTTATCTGCAAGGGAATCTGTAAGAAAGTGAAATTAGATTCATTTTTGTGTGGATGACTTAAACTGTATTGAAGCCCTGTAGGAGTAGTCTCATTTAGAATTTAAGTAGCTTAATTCAGTTTTCTTAGTTCCATTTAAAAACACTGCATGAACAGCAAAATCATACCTGTAACAATCTTAATCTAGCTCGACTGAAGCCATAGTGGGCTGAACCTGCTGACCTTTTTCAGCAGGCGTGGACTGCCCAGAGTCATACTGGGACCATCCATAATCTTTTCCACAGGAATGTGGAAATAAGGCTCAAGCAGGGTATTAACAGAGCATGGATGTTGCAAACTTGGCAGAAATTGACTGTATTAGTGAACTGGAGAACTGAAGATAAAAATGTAATTTAAAAACTAACTACAGATAAAGGCACTTGGGAGTTTGATGTGTTTGGAGAACTTGATCTGGACCAGGGTTGCAGGGGAGACTGCTGAGAGGTGGTAGCTGTAGGTACCAGCCATAACAGCAAATGGGCCAGAGGTCTGATAAGGGAAAGACTCTTGGAGCATGTGTGGTTTATAATAAAATCTTCCTCCAGCATATTTGCAGATCAGCAACACTGGCTGGCTGGGGAGAGCTCTACGGGCGCACTGGCTACAACTATATCTTCTCAGGTGAGTGAGGAGCCGTTTGTCACTGCCTGGTAAGGCTGGTCGGTGCTGGGACAGTGACCTACACACAAGAGGAAGCTCTTCCTGAGGGCTGATGCAGAGCTCTAGCATGGACCTGCTTGTAGCAGACCCTGTGTAATAGAGCAGAGACTGAAATCTCGTCTGTTTCCAAGCACCATACTACAGGACAGAATGTCATAGCTCCTAAAAAACACTGACTTGAGGCTGAGGAGTGAGTTCTGGGAAGCATGTAGGCAAGGAAGGCAACCCAAAGGATTTGGGGTACTGATTCCCAGACATGGAGGGTGGGAATAATGGAAGAAAGAGGATAAGAACTTGCTATTGCTTGGCTAATCATTGGGAACCAAACCTGCTAATGGTGAGATATACTGGGCTCTAGGGAAAGCTCTTCAGGGGAGCACTGGGTGTCTGTAGTGTGGGAGCTGAAGCTTGGCTTAACAGAGTACTGTGTAGCACTACTGGGGTGTCCTTCTGGCTGTCAATAATGAGTTTGATGAAACTAGATCCTTTGCAATGACAAGGGAAGACTGGGCTACAGGAAGAGGAAATTTGGGGAACTATTGAGAGCACTTATGTGTGGAGAGAGGGTGCCAAACCATTACCTTTTTGGGCACATGCATGTCTTGTCAGATTGGAGACTGAGTTGGTTTACACAAGCCTTGGTTCTCAATGCCTTCTTTGCAGGAGGTTCTGACGATGCTTGGGCAGATGCAGAAGACATTTCAGAGGAAGATTCTGCACTTAGGTTTGTATGCATCACTGGGATGGGGAAAAGGGAGTCTGGACCAAAGCTGACTGGCTCAGCCACGCAATTCTGTTCTTTCCTAGGCTTGGCTTTGGGTACAGGCTTGAGACCGTCACCAAGCTCAGAGTCTTACTTTCCTTGCTTTTGAAAAAGAGTCTTGACTGCTAATGGCTGGCTGAACCCAGTGTAGCTGAAGTCTGCTAATCTCTTGCCAGAGGGAAAGGCTAGAGACAGGAATGTGTAGAGCCATTTAAAAAGGTGTTTGATTTACACAGATGTGTTTACTTCATCTAAAAGTACCTCTACAGGCTGGAGAAATTATTCTGTATCTTATGTGCTTGTTGCAGAACAGATTGAGATGTGAGGAGAGACCCTAACCACAGAGCTTGCAGTATCAGCTCATTGCAGAGTCTGACTCTGACCTGTGGAGACAAGGTCTATGCTGTGCAGCTTATAGCTGGGGGTGGTTCAGGGAAGAACTGTGGCAGTGTTGTGCAAAGAATCGTACTCAGTGTGGTCAGTCTTCCATGCTCATCTTGCTTTGCCTTATTCTGTCTTGCAGAAATGCTGACTCCCAGCTGTTTGACAAGGTCAGAGGGCACGACATCAAGCTGCTTCGATACCTGTCTGTCAGATATATCTGTGACCTGATGGTGGAAAACAAGAAGGTGAAGTTTGGCTTGAAGTGAGTCTGGGTTCATTTGTTTTTCTGCAGGCTTTGGATTGCAGCTAGTATAGGTCTTGCTGTGAATTGCTATTGGGCATGCACTCAGCATCCTGGAAGCAGTCCCTGGAAGGGTACTACAGCAGGATCAGTTAGTTGATGCTGTAAAGAGAACCCTGAGGTTTTAGTCCAGAGAAAGCTGTATCAATGGGCAAGATAGCTGCTTCCATCTGTCTTCTGCTGTCTGAGTAGGTTTTCTCTGTAGAGCTTGTGGTAACGTGACAGTCACCCCTTCAGAAAGGGGAGAGTAAAGGAGCCCTCTGCTTGTGTGTAGTAACAGAGGGAGATGTTTCTCCTGGTATTTCTCTCAGAGAAGAGCTTTAGTAGTTTTGGGCTATACCTGTCTGAATGTGTTGAGTAAGTTCTGCCCCTGCTCACTCCTGAGTCAAGTCATTGTGCAGGAAGATGTGACAGGTAGATTTTTGGGTGCTAGTATCTCCGTGAAAAATACTCTACAAATGTCTGCTTTTTTCCTCTTGTCCTGTGCAGTGTGACATCTTCTGAGAAGGTGGACAAAGCTCAACGTTACGCTGATTTCACGCTTCTCTCCGTCCCATATCCAGGTACAGGACTGATGTCCAGTGGGACTCCCAAGGGACAGGTGACAATCCATTTCTGGGGACTGGGAACTACCTGTGTGTGTATGTGTGGTGAAATGACCGTGGCTTGCTGAATGTTTCCTATGCTCCCTCTGGAGAGAAGCTCTTTTAAACTGGGAACAGTGTGACGAATCTGGATGCTCTAGCGGTGCCAGTGAGCACTAGGCACTCTTTGAGGTGGCAAAATAATTTCTCAGCAGTTCTAATGAATTTGAGCGTGGAGAAAAAGTCCCAGAGGTGGAGCTGAGGTTAAGATGGTCTTTAACACCCCTGCAACTCCCAACTACTGCTTGATATCTTGCTCTGTGTTGCATAAAACCCCAATTCTTAAGAGTATTTTCTAGTCCTAGTGTTCTGGAGCTGTAAGATATTCTCAGTGCTAGGCAGAACTGTTAACGTGAGCCTGCAGTGTACAGCTTAGATGCAGACTGCTCCAGCCTGTCTCCCTGGCTATATTAGTCCCTGTGCCTAGCAACCACTGCTGGGTCACTTGCTGCTCTCTTAAAGATGAGCTGAATATTGCTGCCTGCCTGCTGATGTCAGACTCGGTGGTAGAATTGGATGTGAGACTGCTGTGCTTGAGATCTGTCTGCAAGAAAGGATTCTTCTTCCTCCCTTGGCCACAAAGAAAGGGAAAAGAAAAAAAAAAAAACCAAACAAAAAAACCCCCCAAAACCCCACAAAACTGCTGTGGATGATCCAAACCCAAACTTTTCCTAGTTGTTACCTTTAAACATTTTTTTTTCTTTTTTTTCTTTTAGAAAAAAGGTCTATTTCCTTTCACACACAATGACAATTCAGAGAAGCTGTATGAAGATTCCTATTGAGTTTTCCATGCAGATTGCAGAGGGATACAGAAATATGAGTATTACTGGTTTCTGTAGCACATGGCACAGGTATATGTTGCTGCCATATGCCTCACCAAACTTAGAACATGGGAGAGACAGTGTCCACAGGTCTTCTGTAGAGTTTGTGAAGAATGAGGGAGAAGTGACACTATAGAGTTAAGCTGCAGAGGTGTTGCTGTGTGGGGGATCTGCTTGTTGTATGCAATATTCAGTGATGGTCCTTCTGCCATCTGGGACAGCTGCTTTCTTTTAGTAGCTCTTCACTGCCACGCTAGAGGTAAACCTTATAACAATTCTCCCTGCAGATATTGCCTTTTTTCCTCTCTGCTGATCCAGAGGGGAATGTTGTTGTTCTGGTAAATCCAAGGCATACACATCTGAGGATCAGCAGCCCCTCTAGTGCCTGGCCAGCTGCTGTGGTACATTCTTATTGATGCTCCCAGGTTTGCATTGAAAGAATTTCTGTTTTGTCATTTGTCTCTAAAGTTATTCTGAAATCTTGTTGTCTTAGGTGAGTGAAGCAGTGTCCAGACATGACTGTCTAAGGTAAAAGACTTGTGTTAAAACGAGGTATCTGTAGGAGCTTTTGTGCTCTCCAGTGCAGAAACTCTCTTTCCCATTTAACTGGTAGTTGACAGTTGTAGATGCCGACACTTACTGCCGTAATCCCTCATTCTTTGCTTTAAGCCTTTGTTTAATTTGAGTTAAATCTCAACTGACACATTGCTTCCTGACTGCGCGTTTTCCAGGGCTAGTCCTGTCCTTACACATTTTTTTTCACCATAGGAGTCGCTTGTGACTGGCAGGGTAGGAGTCATTGCCTGCGTTCAGTGCCTGGCACAGGGGTGTCTGGGTGCTGCTGGGGCATACACGGTATTGGGAGGGAGAGGCTTTTCGTGTAGCCTGCAGGCAGCCGCAGTGCTAATGGTGCTGCTCAGCTGTGACTAAGTGACTGCAGTTTGCAGTAGAGACTTCAAATAGTTGTTTGAGAAGAACAAAGCCAAAGGACAGAAACTTCGGGAGGGCAGCGCTTGAGGGAAACCTTGGAAGTGGTTGTGTACCTGCTTTCTTCAGATAGGGCAATTCACATCTTTGAAAGAGAAGACTTAAATGTGAGAGAAATCACAGCTGCCTCTGACAGAGCCCTTTCTTGTTACCTGCAGCAGATGTCCTGTGAGAGCTGGCTTTCCCCAGAGCTCTGCCAACACCTTCTTTTGCTGGTTCCTTCTTGCTCAGCATGTCAGGCTGATGCCTTAGATCTGTGCAAAAGTCAGTGGCCCTGGAAAGCATAGCTCCGTGGTGAAATCTCTTGTTTGGGAAAGAATGAAATCAGTCCCTCAAACTCCACATTTGCTGTGTGTTTGGAGTTTGCTCTGTGCTGTGTGCGTGTGTTCACTGCTGAGTGCTCTGGGTTGTTGCTGCTGAGAGGCTGTACTGCAGATGGTTCTGATGATTACTGCTCTTCTCTTCCCGCAGGCAGCAGTTTTGATTGGTGCCCTGGAGCCCGAGGCTACCAGCACTTCCAGTCCCACAGGGCACTTCAGTTGTTAGATATCAGTTAGCTGAACGGTTATTCATTATCTCTTTTTCTTTCAGGCTGTGAATTTTTTAAGGAGTACAAAGACCGGGATTATACAGCTGAAGGTCTCATATTTAACTGGAAACAGGTACATGGATGTTACAAAATGAAGAGCTGTGGGCTTTACTGGGCTTAAGTCTTGCTTCAGAGTTCCTGGGGGATGGTATATATGTCATGTGCTTATTTCTGATCACAAGGAGGAAACCAATAGGGCAAACAAAACAGATAGTGAATGTACTAAATTATTAATTGTAAAATTTGTATGTAAAATAAATGAATCATTATCCTGAAGTCCACGATGCTTGACCTCTCATGGGGGGTATGGGCTGCTCCTGTTTTTGAATTGGCTATCCTATTGATAGACTCTGTTCTCAGTTATGTCTTCATATTCTGTCTCCTGCTGAAGGAGGTGGTTGAGTGAGTGGATCAGCCCTGCAGGAATTCAGAAACTAACATGCCTTGTCCCTGACTTTCACCATTGGGAGCACAGAAAAGCTCCTCTTGTCCACTGGTCCTTCTAAGATCCTTAACCACTGCAGGTTTTTGCATTCAAAGATGCTTTGCTGAGACATTTTCTTCTAGATGCACCACTTGGCATTTGTTGTTTTGTCTTTTCTGGAACTCACTGCCTTCAAGTCATGGCTTTTCTCTGACCAGTTGTGTCTGGGTTTCTTGCAGGATTATGTAGATGCTCCATTAAGTATCCCAGCCACTCTGACCCAATCTCTGAATATTGATTGGAGCGAGTACCAGGTGAGCAAAGCAGGTGTCTCTGTGGGAGGTCAGAGATTCATACAGGAAGGTTTGGTAAAGATTTCAAGTCTGACTTGCTCCTGTTGCTGTAATCTGGCTCACTTCATACCATCCCAGTGGGAGCGAGGCTGCTTACTTGACTGTTCAGAATGGCAGTGGAAATCCTCTACCCAAAAGCTCCTGCGTCACGAGGCAGCTGAATGTAACATCAGATCTTTTTCTGTAGCTTGCGTAGAACTTGCAATCCTTTGTCACTGACAAAGGTAAGGAACATGCCAGGAAACAGAAAGCAGCATTAGTCACTCACAATCTTAGCTAAGGCATGTTCCTGCAGTGGGCAGACTTCCCTGGCTGTGGAGAGTCTTGAGAAAGGTCAGCCTTCCCTTAGGTGAGCAGTAGCCAAGTGGTCAGGCACCTTCTTCATGGGTGTGCAAGGTGCCTGCCCTGTGAGAGGACAGTAAAAAATCCTAAATGACTGTAGCATGTCTCCATTCCTTATTACTGTGACAGCATCATAAATAATAATTGAACTCATATTTACCCAAGCTTTGAGCTTTACCTTTGTCTGGGAGCATCACTTTACACTGCTGATTAGTGTGCTCCATTTCACACATCAGCAGACCTACCAATCCCCCAGGTTTTGTGATGATTGACTGTGCTGGAGCGTGTCACGCTGCTGTGCTCTGCAGCTGGAAGCACCACAGAACAAGCAGAACTCCCTGTGCTGGGACAGTGTTTGTCAGTCAGTGATGTAAATAATGTTTAAGTGCCAGCATAAGCATAATCACAGAAAAGTAGCTTGCAGCATTGGAGAATGAGACCACAGCTAGTTTATGGCTAGAAACTTGTTTGCTAGAATACAGAGTAACCAATATTTTTAAAAGGATATTAAAAATTGAAGAGGGTGCAATAAGTTGGTGCAGAAATGGTCTGAGGACTGGAGAAGGTGCTTCACTTGAAGCTAAAGTTCTCAATCTGTTTAGCTAATCACAAGGGTGATGGAGGATTGACTTGATTAATGTGTAAGCACATTGGCAGGGAGAAAATACTGATTCTAAAGCACTCTTCAATCTGGGGGAGAAAAGCTGCACAGGAAGCAATATCTGCAGTCTAAAGTGAGACCTTCAAATAAGGAGAAGGAGCCTTACATTTTATTTTTGAGGATAATCTGTTGGAACATGCTGCCAAAGGAGCAATGAGCTGTCACCCCTAGTTGAGGTGCTTCTCTGGGCAGAGATGTTGCCAAATGTAAGCTTCAGGCTCTATATGGGGCAGCTGAACAAAACTTTCTGGTTTGTGGTATAAAGAGATCGGACTGGATGATCAGATGATTCCTTCTGGCATAAGCACAAGATCAGATTGAATTGGGCAGATAAAAGACTTCTGAAGGATGTGTTTTTCTGCCCCAGGCTGAGCATGTCCCCCATCTCCCTGCTCTTTTGTTGCTGTGCAGGCTTCACAGCAGGGCAATATATTATTTGGGTGACAGTAGTCTTAAGTATGGTTACGTGCACACGTGCACGCATGCAAGCACACAGGAATCATTCTGTTGCTGGAGGTCAGGTGTCACTTACACCACTCATGTGGCCCTCTCCTTGCCTTTTCCTTGCCAGTGCTATCCTGTTTTCCTTGAGCTAGTTCTGGCTCTGATCAGACTGCTGAAATTCCCTGCTTCTTCCCAAGATCAAGAGTGGCACACTTGAGCTTGTTGTGATGTTTTTCACCTGCATTGCTTGTAGTCCTGGAAGGTCTCTGCGATCAGAGTCCTTCTGTGGTACTGCTGTTACTTGGGTGTTACTGCAGAAGTCCAGTGCCTGTCTGGAGCAGCTGGGAGTGACTCCACAGGCAGCCTGATGGGGCCATTCACAAGGAACCAGAGAGTTTTGGACAAAGCTCTTGGGTTGTGGGAATGGGCTGCTAACCTTGGCCTGCTCAGCGCGTCGTGCTGCTCGCATTACACACACAGCTGTAATGTGGCTGCTGAGCCATTTGGTAAAGCGCGTGTGTGCGGGGCAGGGGGCTGCAGAAGTGGGTCAGTGCTCCACAGGTGTTTGCTGGCTCACGTTGGTCTCTCTGAGCATGGTCTGCTTGGAGCTTTGGGGCTGCAGGCAAGAAGTTTCTGTGCATCCCCCAGCAGAGATGGCCCTTTAGTTTTGGGTTTTTTTCCTGCCTGGTCTGTTGTCCCAGAATGCATTCTGCAGAGGATGAGGGGAATAGTTAGAGCACCAAAGGAGTGTCTCACTCTGAGGAATGGCCACAGGGTTATATCTGCTTTGCTGTTTTGCTGGGTAGAGAAGCCAAGAGCATGGTGGGCTCTGAACTGCTGAGCAGCCTTTTGCTGTGGGCAGACTCTTACCATCAACATTTCTCTTTCTGCATAGAGCTGGGACCTCGTTCAACAGACGCAGAACTACCTGAAGCTGCTGATCTCCATCATCAACAGTGATGGTAAGGGAAACTCTTCACTCCCAATGGCCTAACCAGAACAGTTGCTTTCTCTGGAAGAACCGCTGATGGTATTAGTGCCGCTGTGGATCAGTTCCCAATACAGAAGAGTTGCTTTATGGAGAGTTTCACTTCTGTCCCTTCAAAACAGGGTGACAGTCCTAGAATCTCGGGGGTCCAGTTCCCCTCTTAGAGAGGGACCGCTGATCCCTTGAAGAGCCTCTGTTCCCAGGAGTGGAAGGATATCTGAAAGCTTTATCTATGGTTTTACTGCTGTAAAGCTGAAGAGATCAAGTGTTTGTTCCCCCTCACTCTATTTGCTGAACGTCTGTGTTTTGTCCCCCCAACGCAGGGTCTCATTAGGTGCCTGTTTAACTGCCCTTTCCATCCTCTGTGATCACAGCCACCCCAGCTCCTTGAAGGGGGTGTATTGCTCTATGTTGGCATCCCGTTCCCTCTGGGCACTGTGACTTTGTACCTAGCACTGTTGGACAGATGGAGCCGTGGCTGGCTCTGCCAGCACAGCCAACTGCAGACTCCTGCAGCTGTTGGGTTGGGGCACACTGTGAGTTTTCTGGAGAGCATAGGAGCAATGCCCTGTGCATGCCTCTGCTCAACCTACATCAGTAGGAAGGTTGGTGAGACTGAAAAAAATACTTAGTTAGAGAAGATTTCTCTCTGATGTGAGGATAGCTTGTGATAGTGGGTTGCAACTGGGTAGGTGTATGTTCTGGGGAGCAAAGTGATGTTTGTACCTAGTGACTTCATGTCCTGAGCAGCTGTCAGGACCAGGGCAGCACATCAGCTGGGACTGCTGACAACTCAGGACATTCTGAGCAATTTGTTGGCTGCAGTATTTAAGTCAAAATGCTCTGGCTTGGTGACTGAACTCTGCTCTTGAGCCCAGGCTGCGGGGATGGAAAGTAGCTTGTCGCTACAGATTTGCCATAAAGAAAAGCTGTTGCTGTTGTTACAACATCCTTTTTTTTTTTTTCCCTCCTTCTCCTTCCTGCCCCAATTTGGAACAGATGACAGCGGGCTCCTGGTGCACTGTATATCTGGCTGGGATCGAACTCCTCTGTTTATCTCCTTATTGCGCCTCTCCTTATGGGCTGTGAGTACCTGGCTGACCTGCTCTGCTTCTGGGGTGATTGCTTGGAGAGTGAGTGACTGCATCACCAGCAAGTGGTGGTGGAGCAGTTAATATTCCTTTTGACTATCTTGGCTTTGGACAGGGTGTGGTTTTGTTTTGAGGTGGAGCCCAACGTGCTGTTCTACCATCAGTTCACGGTGTCACAGGCAGGCAGAGCAAGCTGGGCATCCTGGGTCACCATGACAGTTTTCAGTAGATCATTAATTTCCAAGTCCCAATCCTCAGGGCTGCTGCCTGAAAGCTGTTCTCATTGCTTTGCAGGATGGGCTGATCCACACGTCCCTGGAACCGTCTGAGATTCTCTACCTGACAGTGGCCTATGACTGGTTCCTGTTTGGGTAGGCACACTAAGTTTTGCTGGCATATGCATCCCTGTGCAGCAGGGGAGGAACCTGCAGGGAGGCATCTTTGGCGTTTGCTCACAACCAAAGGTGGATGTTGGGACAGCTCCCAGTGAGCTCTGACAAGAGGGGCTGATGCCTTTGTTGGGTTTTTTTTGCCTGGAGGCTCAGGCATCTGGCTGTTCCTGACAGCTTGTGCTCTTCTGCTGATTCTGGCTTCCAGCGTGTGACTGAGCTTCCCTTGCTCTCTTTCCAGGCACATGTTAGTCGATCGACTCAGTAAAGGAGAAGAGGTGAGTGTCTGGTCTGGGGCAGTGGCTGAGCACTGCTTTATGTTCTCAGAGTACTTGTTTATGATAGCAGCATTCACTGACTGCTTCTGGTATTATCAGTAATATCTGTCTGGACTCTAAAAAGATTGTTCAGGGGCTGGAAATAGGAGGTAGGAACCTTGCCCCGTCACTTCCTGATGGGAATACTTTTCTCTCAGGCTACAGTTAGGTTGGTGAGTGTGGGTCCTGCCAGATCCCCTGCTGTGCCATTAGAGTTCAGGCTCCTGGTGAAAGGGTGCTAGGACTTGCTGTTCAGCTCAGCAATGAGAAGGGATTGCTAGAGGCTTGTGACTCCTGGGAGCTTGGAAATAAAGCTGTGTAGTCTTGTGTGCTTGTCCTGAGTGCCAACCCTCCTGCCTGGGTGCTGCAGCTGCCTGTGGTTTGCATGTCATTGCGAGCTCGTGGAGCAGCTTGCGCTGGTTTCGTTGTTGTATTTGGTGGGGTGTATCTGTGGGTGCACAGATGGGGCTGGAGGCAGTTAAGATTAGTGGAACTAATTATCTTCAAATCTTTCACTGTTTCACAGCAAAAACTGATTGCTCTCACTATAGTTGCAATAAACTGCAATATAATTTTTGGGTAGAGATCAAGAGATGGGGAGTAAGTTTAACCCTGTTGCTAATCCCCTGGTCCTCAGACTCGCACCTCACTAGGGAATCCTCTTCCCCTGAACAGCAGAGCTGGGACTATTTTCCATCTTTCAGGAGTCCAGGACCCCTGTATTAGTATCGTTCCTCCCATTCATTCCTTTCCCAGAGCTCTGCTGGCTCAAACCTGGCAGCTCTGCTCTGGTGCCTGCTTGACCAAGGGCAGAGTGGGTCGCTGGGACAGGAGAGGGGGTGCACGCCTGCCTCCAGCACTGCCTGCTCCCTGCTGCAGGAGGAGAAGGGCTCAGCTCTGTGCAGGTGGGTGGGGTGGCAGTGGCACGGCGGAGTGAATGCCACAAAGCAGACTGGTGTGTGGCATGGCACGAGCTTGGGACTGTAGATGCTGCAGGTACTGGATGCTTCCAGGTGTGATACAGCTGTGATGACAAGGTGGAGTGGGTGGCTCTAACCCTGCTAGTCCTGCTGGGTTTGCTGCTTACCTGGGTGTAAAAGCAGCTGCTAGGGGCCATCTCTTTTCCGTTCTGCACTGATGGCATGAGTACCTGCTGTCTGCTTGCAGCATGTGTGCAAGGCGTTGATAAGGAGGCTTGTCATATGCCTTCCTTTCTGGGCCTCCCTGTGGCATGGAACAGAGGGTCAGTTTAATGTCTAAGAGAAGGCCCAGGATGGGATGGTGGCAGCCCATGGCACGTTGGAGGCTGGTAGCTGCAGATTTTTTGCTATCTGCTTCCTGCTAACACCTCCCCACCAAGATAAGAGGCTGCACAGAGCCTCGGGTTCATTCCTGAACCACTGTTCTCTCTCCCTTTGCTCAGATTTTCTTTTTCTGCTTCAATTTTCTGAAGCACATCACCTCTGAGGAGTTCTCAGCTGTGAAGTCGCAGAGGTAAGGAGTCTGTGCCTGCTGCTGCATGGGCTGCAGAGCCAGGGAGCTTGTTAGTGCTGTTCCTTTTGGGAGATGGAAGCCCTGGTGTCCTGGCCCAGTTTTCTCTAATTTATTCTGCACTCTGAAGGCTGCAAAACGGGGCCGAGGCTTGTGAGGTGCCACATTGTGCTCTGGAAAACTGTCCATGCTGAAATGTGCTCTCTGCTTAATGACTGTCCGTGGCTGCTTTAGCACGGATGGACCAGAGATGTGTGCTCTGGCTCGAGCAGGCTGCGCAGCGAGCTCCGTCAGGCGCTGCTGGGGGGAGCGGGGTGGCTGGTTTCTAACAGACCACTAAACATTATTCCCTTTCTATTTCAAGAAGTGTAGAAAGAAACAAAGCCCACCTGCAGGCTCTGAATAGGCATGTGTCTGCCCGCAGCCTGTTGTCTCTCTCTCAAAGCACAGGGGTGTGGGCAGGGATGGTTAAGAGAGTCAGATACTGCACACTGGCCCCATCCCCTCTCCTCTGGCCCTGCACAGCTAACTCCCCGCTGCTCTGATCTGCTCTGTGCTACAGAGATCTGGCTGTGGCCAGCCTCCACACAGCCCTGTAGCGTGGCTGAGGTAACCTTGTCTTTTCATCCCCAGAAGGAAGAGTTTGCCACCTGGCTTCACCCTGGAAGAGATCTGCATGCTGAGTGAGTGCTGCTGCCCAGCGCCAGCGCCCCTGGGTGCTGGTAATGGTTGATCACTTGGGGGCTTGGGTTCCCAGCATCAAGGTGACTACAAATGGGTATGCTTCCCTTGGGGCCTGGCAGGGACGTGGCCCCAGGGCACATGGGAAGTGTATTGCTTAAAGGGAAAGAAAGTGAGCGAGACCCAGCTGGTCTTCAGGTAGCTCTGTTTTCTTTTCTCTAGAGCAGAGAGACCGAGGCAGCACCACAAGTCTGAGCAGCGACTTCTCCCTGGGGATGGAAAGTTCCCCTGGAGCAGCTGGGAGCTTCACCTATGAAGCAGTGGAGCTGATGCCAGCAGGAGCACAAGCTCAAGCAGCATGGTGAGGAGATAACTGCTCAGTGGGCTGCAGAACAAAAGGGGCAGGCTCTCAGCACAGTAGAAATATTTCTGAAGTCCCTTGCCCTCCAGGTCTGCTCTCTGTGGCATGGGTTCCTTACAGTGGAGGGAGGAATTTGGCTGTCGGAGGCTTTGCTGCAATCTGTGCTGCAGAACTTCTGCACCAAAAATTGGAGACCACCCCATGTTAAAAACTGTCAGGCTTCTGTGGGGATGTTCGTGAAATTCGTCCCCTGATGAGAGTACAGCGGCTTTGTTTCATTTTCACCAGTTTCACTGTTAAACTTCATTCAGAAAGGATTTCATTACTTTTAAAAGGTGTTTCCAAACTACCAGAAAAATGACATTTGACAGCAGCCTTCCCAGGGGAAAGTGGAGACAAAGTTTAACTGCCCTAAAATGAAGCTTAATCAGTTTATGGAAGAGATTTTACAGGGGAGCGTCTCCAGTAGTAGATGGGCTGGGTGGCCGAGAACCCCCTCTAAACTTTAGCCCCTCTAACAGCACCAGGTGTGTGAGCTGCAAGCAGATTGCTGCCTGCACCGCTGCTTAGAGGTACTTCTTGGGGAAAATACTAAATTTCCTGTGCTCCCTGTTGACGGAGGGTCACATCGGAGTCGCCTGGGGATGCAAGTGGCTGTCTGGAAGCGGGGACTGGGGAAGGTGTCTGACAACTCTGCTGCTCTGGGACAGGCGTTGTGCTTGCTTATGGAGTTTCTGAAATCCCCAAACAGCACCAGAACCTTGCTGTAGGGTTGCCCTTCTCAGTTTAATTTTTCTCTCCTCTCCCATAGCACACGTGAAGATGCTATTTTATATTGCAATTATTTTAAATTAAATCTGGGTTGTGCTGCAGGCAGTTGGGAGTCCTCTGGGACTGAGCCTGCAGCCATGCTAGTGGCAGCAGCCTTTCTAAAGCACACTGTGATTTGATTTATAAAATGATGAAGAGGGGAAGAGAGAATCTTCCCGTGGAATCACAAAATGGAGATGGGGAGCCCCAAACTGCGTTGGCCAAGTGGGCAGCGCAGGGTCCTCTCTAACACACAGAGCCTACCTATCCTCAGCAAAGCGACTGCAGCAAGTAGAGAGCAACTTTCTGCTTGTCTGGCTGCAGGTGGTAAACTGGAAGCATTTATGTTGCTGAGTGCTCAGGACATACAGACTAGATCCTGCAGCACAACACCCACACATGATTTTTACAAGATGTGAAGTGGCCAGAGCGTGCTGGAAGAGATCTGCTGCATTTGTGTGTATCAGGGCTTCATTTTGTGACGTCTTTTCCAACTCTGGTTTGTTCTGATTCCTGTTGGAGATGTCAGGCTGTACTGGGGCTACCTGCTACTACCCCAGGGATGGTTTGGGCCCATGCTGTGGGCGTGAGCTTAGGGAAGGGAAGGCTGTGAGCCTTGCCACGAGTGCTTAGCAAGGGGACAGGGCACGGGTGTCTCGCTGCAGGCTGTTGTGGCTGTGTGGTCTGAAGAACAGGTAGGGCTTGCTACAGGGTGGGTGAGCTGGCCTGTGCATAGCATAAGGGGGGAGAGGAAGGGATGGTGCTTCATTGTGGTGTTCTGAAAACTGGTGGCCTCAAGGTCTCCTCACAGGGAGAGGCATTTATTTTTTAGCTCTACAAGCCTGTCTCTGCAGGCTGTGCTTGAAGATGTTGGCAGCTATGATAACATGAGATGAATGATGGTTGAGAGAGGCTGTGGTGTGATGTTTGAGGGTGGACACACTTCAAGAAGCAAAGAGAGAATATCGTGCTTCCACTGTACAATGAGCCTGTCTTTAGCTGTACTTGCTGACAGTGCTCAAGATCTCAGTCAAAGCTGAGGTGCCCTTCCATATTCCAGGAAGAACAGCACCTTTCTCCTTGAGTTTATTTGCTTTAGACTTTTCCTTTTTACTTGTGTACATAGGGAGGTCTTTGTCCAATTTGCTGTGGTTTTGGAAGGGGAAAAATTTCTTAGGACTATTCCAGAAAAAAAAAATGATGCAAGAAAGAAAATCTTCTGAACATGGAGCAGCAGTGACATGAATTAGTCCCAAATATGTGTGCCTGTTTGGCATGTAGCTGCATGGTACTGTGAGCTAAGGCCTGATGCAGCAGTGGACAGTGAATCATGCCCGAGTCTGAATGTGCTGGCTAGAAAAGCCAGAGCAGTTCCAGGCAGTCAGCACAGACAGGGAGACGGCTGAAATGCACCTACAGCTGGAGTGATTGTCAGCTCTGAGCACATGGTCAGAAGTGTGGTCAGTGGTGCCTGAAGGGAATCACCAAAAGGGAAAATAACACTGATGTTGTGTCCCTGTTGCCCTCATCAGTGCGCATGAATGCCCACCTGGGCTGAGCTCCTCGGCTGATAACACTCTGTAGAGTTTAGAGCAGATTGAAATGGTCTTTCCCTGCTAGGAGGCCCCTTGCTTGAGGCGTTTTTGCAGCGAGACTAAACAAAGCCATTGCTGTATGTGTGTGGGCTGGTGTATTCTCCTGTCTCTGATTTCCAGGTCACGTGGATGGTGATCTATAAAAGAATGGGCTAAGATGGGTTGAGCTCACTGTACCCCCATCACTGAACGGTTACCCGTGACTCATTGTTCCTTGTGAGGGAGGAGGGCAGTTTCAGTGGGAAAAAGAGCTTGTAGCTACTGGGGTAAAATCCAGCCTGCTGTGGAAAGGCTTCCTAGTTGGAGTACATGGGAAAGTCAGCTTCCTCACCCAAGTCTTCCATCCCACAGGAGGAAGAGCTGTGCATCGTCACCACAAGCTGTGCTCTGGAGCAGGGCACAGCAGTCCGAAGACAGGCTGCCTTCCACAGGGATGGTTGAAGTCAAGTCCTCCAGCTCCTCCTCATCAACCCATTCTGATAACTTCCTGAGGATTGGAAGCAGCCCACTGGAAGTGCCCAGATCCAGGTGAGGTGGGATAGAGTAGAGCATTTGTCAGCAAAGTGAGTGTCTGGTAGAGGCAGTGTGGGGCTGCACTTGTGTGGCTCTGAGAACTCTGGAGCACGTGGGTTTGTATCTACAAACAGCCCTCAGGAGGCCAGTTCCTCTCTAGCCTGACCTTGTGTGAAATGTTGGCCATTAAACACAAAAACCCCTGCCTCAGCCCACTCAGAGGGGTGAGGAACCGTGCTGATAACAGCTAGGTGTCTGTTCTGCCTGTCCTCAGCGCATGCCTCAACTCTGGCATCTCTGCATCCTGCATGCTTGGAGCTCACAGCACTTTCTCTGTCAAATGCATCCACAGGAGTTTGAAATGGCTGTGTTGTGTGGGGGTGGAAGACTTTCAAACCAAGCAAACCTCACTCTGCGTCTAGCCTGTCCCTTTCCACCTGCTGACCTTCCTGGCACTGCAGGGTGCATAAAAACTCTGGGTGCTGGTGGCAAGCAGAGGTAGCATCTGCTGGGGACAAGCTGCGAGCGCTGTGCTGGCACAAAGGATTTTTCCCAGAAGGCTGTGTGTTCCCACTGGGCAACCGGGGAATGGGGACCCTGGACCTCAGCCTAATCTCATGCCACGACAAAAGATATTCTGGCACCCTTCTGGAGTCCAGTGCTGTGGTAGGGCAAAGCAGAGCAGTGAGCAAAGCAAGGGAAGAAAGAACAGAGCCTGTGGAGCAAACACCATGTGTTTAGGCTGACAGGGGATAAAGAGGCTCTTAGATAAGAAGTTGCTGTTATCAGCATCAAACGCTTATGTAGTCTCTGCAGGTTTTCCAATGAGTCTTCTTCTAGTGATTCCCTTCAGAAACAGCCACCAGCCAAATTTTAGTATTCTCTTATCACATGGAAAATAAAATGACAAACAAGTAAAGCATTGAAAATTTATAAGACTTTCTTACCAAGTTTCTTGATTCTAGAGAAATATCACTGTCTGACAGTTTTCATAAATGATGCAAACTGTTCTCCCCAGGGAGAGAGATCAATAGGATGTTTTTGAGTTGTTGCTGGGGCCCACCTCTACCTTCTCTGTAAGATGAAACAAGTCTCCCAAGAAGAGGATAAAATAAGGGGGGAAAAAAACAGCTAGTCTTGGGGGGCTGCTTGTGTTCACGATGGTAATGCCACAGTTCCTGCATGTGGTCTCATGCCATTCCCAAGACCTAACAGGCTGTTTGGCACTGGGCTGGTCATGAGCTTGCAGCAGTGCTGTGGAAGAAGCTGTTTGTAACACTTCAGCTGGACTCTGCTCTGTGAGAGTGAAGAGGAGAGACAGAGTAGGCAGAACACCACCACGGGAAGGGGCAAATCCTCTAGGCTTATTATCTTTTCTCTGGCTGTGTATGGATGAGGTGTCTATAAGCTTTTGGATGATGAGTGCCCATTGGCATCAGGTGTTCAGAACCAGCCCTCTCAGGGCTTGAGGCAGCAGGCAAGCATGGAGGGGAAGCTTCTTACTGCCAGGCCTGAGTAATAATCTGAGAAGGAGTTGCAGTATTCTGTCATTCTAAGAGGTAAACGTTCTGTGGATTCCACTATAAACATTTATTTCTGACCGTTATGATAGCTTCTACTGTGGCACAAAGCCTTTATAACCCTTCAACGCAGCAAAGTTGCACCAGTGCATTCCAAATCCCTGTTAACTTTTGTGAACAAGGCAGTGTAAAGAGCTGGGCTATGGGAAAAAAGAGCATGAGGGAGCAGTAGGGGATGAAAGGGCAGGGAAACCCCTTGCACAGCCTGAAACAAAGAGGACATGAGAAGGGAATCAGTTGTGAGGCCAAAGTGGTGAAGTCAGCTATGTGCAAAGATGGTTAGTCTGCTACACTCGTGCTGGCTGGAGACTCTGTACACCTATATGCTCTTAATCTCTGGTGTCACCTGGGTTTCCTCTACTCCTCTCCATGTGCAGGCTGGAGGAAGTAAGCCTAGAGACCCTGCAGGCAGCGGGTGGAATTGTCAAGGCAATGGCTGAACTGAGCTGCTCTTTCAGACCAAGTCTTCTGGCACATTCATGCTCCTTTGCCTCATAGTCCATTGCTGGAGCAGCCAGACCGTGCCCTGCCTGCCTTCCCTGGGGTAGCACTGGTGGCAGCTCTGCTAGCCAAGGACTTGAGCCTTGCCTTGCCTTGCCTTGCCTTGCCTTGTCAGACACTGACATGGCTTACACCTTTTGGGGCCTGAACACGGTATGTTTTATCTCCAGAAAAAGGGTTTATATCACTCCACTTGGCTTTGGTCTCCCTGCTTGGACTATGTTAGTCTGAATTTGTCTGGTGAGCTCCGTGCAGGTAATGGATATCACAGTACCTTCAGCCACCATTTTCCATCCTGAAGGAAAGGAGCAGTCCCATTTTGGGTGGAGAAGGAGTGAGTGTGTCTGTGATGGAAGGAAGAGGAAAATTCTCTCCCTTCACCTCCTGAAAAATGATGGGACTAGGATGGAAAGGCACAGAGATTGATCGTGATGCCAAAAATACCTTTATCTCTACAGTGCTGCTGGCCGGTTAACACCCAAGGCTCTTAAGATGAAGAAACTACTGTACTTGACTTCCTAATCCTGTGGTTGGGTGGCCATAGCAACAAAACACTTAACCACTGCAGCAGCAGTTGGGGAAAAATGGTTGCTTGTAGAATGCCAGCAGGCACCCTTCAGGTAGTTCTGGTAAACAGCCCAGCCTGTGTGCTGGCAGGCCGGGGAGCTCTGGAGGGAGTGGGAAGGCAAACTGGGGACAGATGAGCAGGGCCTGGGAAGGAAACTGGGGTGTCCTGAAGGAAAGAGTTGCAAAAGCCGAGTCAGCCAAGTCCCCCTCCTGGCCAGGACATATCAGCAGGCTGCTGCCATGGCCTCACCAGCCCATTGTCTGAGTCCTGCTCTGATCCAGAGCTCCTGAGTACCCTTAAATCCCAGCATGGTTCTTGTTAGGCAAAGCAGGACAAAGGCAAATCCCTCGCAGTCCTTATAGCTTATCCCAACACGGCAGTAAGATCGCAGCTGCTGAGGGCAAACATGCATGAAGATACTGCATGGATTATTAGCAGAATAGGACAAGGTTCTTCTTGTTCTACAAACCGAGAGCTCTGAGTAAGGCAGATAGCGTGCATTGACTCCAACTCCCTGTGTGCAAGTGGAGAGCAGCTTGCAAGCCGTGTTCTGTGTTTGCAGTTGACACTAAGAGTCTAAGCGTCCCGTGACACTGCAGAAAAACCCCGTATCTGTGTCAGGGATTTAGCGTGTGTGCACAGAGCACTAATGTGGATTAGCAGCTGGATAATCTTTGGTTGAATGTGCTTTTGCTAAGTCAATTAAACAAAACCCAAAGTACTGTGGTCTGAAGAGTCGAGATCTGCAGAAGTTAAATCACAGAGGATCTGCTTTGTTCAACAGCTACAGAGAACTCCCTCACTTAAAGGGCTGCAGATGGTTCATTGTGGGTCTGGAGGGAGTGCAGTGAGTGCAGGGGGACAGAGAAGCTGCTGCCCCTTGGCTTTGGGTGTTTTGTTGGTAGTGGTAAGACTGCATTGTGCACTCTGTGTCTTACTCCTTACAGCCACCTGGCTTGGAAGCTGTATCTGTGATGTGACAACTTAGGATAGCGACCGCAACGGGACAGAAATTGTTTACTGGAATATTTTCTGGAATTATTGCATGACTATGCCACAAAATGGGCTTGCTGGCTGGCTTGTGACTGTGCTGCAATCAAAAATGGTTGTGCTTGCAGAGGACTGGCTGCTCAGGCTGTTAGGACGCTAACGCAGCCTGGGATTCGGGCAGGGCTCTCGGTACATCTCTCTGCCAAGTATTCCTTGCCAGCATTTCCCACGCAAAGGTGGGAAGGGCTGCCCTTGACTCCAGGTTGCCACAGTCTGCCTTGCGCGTACGGTACCTACTTAACACTTCAGTTTGAGGCACAGAGCATATGCTGGCAAATGAGCTGCTTCCCAGATAGTCCTTGGTGTGTAGAAATATGGCAGGTGAGCGGGGACAGCACAGGGCAGGAGGAGAGCCTCGCTGCTGGGCGCTTGGCACTCGTCTCAATTACGTATTAAGAAAGGGAAGGATCCCTGACTGTTGCTCTGCCTCCGGTATTGGCTCTGCTCTGGCAGGTGAGTGTCCATGTGCTCTGAAATACTCCTATCTTGTGCAGCATGTTGCATGGGAAGTGCTGACCTAATTAAAAGAAACTGTTCCAGACTAGGAGTTGCCAGTTTATGGCCTGCTAGAGGTCCTTCCTTGTGTGAAGGAACAGCTTGCAGCTCATCTCTGTTTTGCTAATCTAATTTTGTTAATCTTACACTTTTGAGGGAGTTTCTTCCCACTCGTGGACCTGAAGAGGTGGGTGTGTGAAGCTCACTTTTCATTCTCTTTCTGTCTGCCATTAGATGTCTGTGGCAGAGACAGCGACTTGAAGACTTGCTGTATCTCATCTCCCGTAACGTCAGCTTTGCTGTAGTCTGGCTGCTTCCCAAGACCCCCAGCGCTGCCCTCGCAGCTAGCCCGACTCTGGCATGGCTGTAATGTGTTGCAAACCTGTTGTTCTTACAGACTTGAGGACTGGTCCTGGTGTCCCAGCAGCCTCAACTTGCTCTGGGGCCTGAAGCCCTTTTTGGGCCTCTGCAGCAAGACTTTGCTAAGAGCCTTTGGGGGTAGAAATAACGGGAAGACTTTCACCTCTAGCATTGACTGGATAGCACAGTCACCCTAAAGATCTGGTCTTGGTCTCAAGCCAAGCTCAGCTTTTAAGAAGCTCTGCTGCCCTTGCAGTACACACACAAGAATTCCCATGCCATGCCTTCCCTGCCTGTCTCACTCAGCCTTGGCCCCTGCTGTCTCTCGAGGCTGTTCAAAGATGCTTGTTGGTTGTGACGCTTCCTCAGGGGCCTCCCTTGAGAAGTCGCTGAGGATAGAGGGGAAAGTCTGCCACAGTGTCTTAGCTGTGCTGGCTGGGCTCAGATATCTAAGCCAGGAAAGAGACGACCTGGACTCATTGCAGAGTCAATCAGTTTATTCAATTAATTGACAAGTGTTTATTTTGCTCCCTGGAGGCGAGACAGAATTGGCTGCCTTGAACTCTCCTGTGCAGTATATTAGGTTAGATGTACCTTGACTAAGTTTGCACGGCTGCTTGACAGGGTCGGGGACCCCAGGGAGGGTTAGAGAGCCACTGAGAACCACTCTTGCAGGAGGTACACAATGCTTTTATCAGCATGTCCAAGAAAGGGTTCAAGAGGTGACTTGATCCACCTCCAAGAGCTGGTGTAAGGTCAGTCTAATCTCAGCTGACACCCATGGAAGGTGACCAGCAGCAGGAAGCTGAGACCACACACCCAAAGCAGGAAAATATTTTCTGCTTACCTTCTTTAGCACAGACTCATCTGGTCAGTGTGGTTGATGATACTGGGCAGAGGGACATTTTTACTGTCCCTGGGGCCCTGGATCGTGTCTTGTTCCTTTGCTTGCTGCCTGGGCACAGTCTCCTAGGCAGGCTCCTGGTACTCCTCCCCCTTTGTGAGAACTGCAGAGCTCTGCTCAGTTCTCTTCACCTTCACCTGGAGGCCACAGCCCAAGCCCTCCTCTGCCATCCAGAGCTGCCCTCTTCAAAACCTTTATTTCTGCCTGGCCCCAAACTTATCCTCTATTCAGCAACTCATTACATTTCTGACAGAATCATGTCCCTGTCCACTTTCAGCCCAAGCTCATTGCCTGTAGACGTCTTTACTGCTTTAGCTCAAATTCTTATCACTGTGACACTCCTGTTTCTCCTCAAGGCGGTGACATCCTCCTCTTCCCTCTGCACTGAAGCAGTGTTCCTCTGTTTCTCCCTGGCTTCCTGCACTGTTCCCTCTGTGCTTCCAGCATGGCACCATGCTCTGCCTGCTCTCCTCCTTCACACTGCTTCCTCACCTTGATCTTCCAAAGGCAGGGAGAGGGGCAGGTGTCACTGAGCCGCTGCTCCCTTTCCCTTACAAATTCCTTGCATCCCAGGGAATGTTATCCCTGTCTGATCTCCAGAAGGTCTTTCTGAGTTCTGCTGCAGTTCTCCTGTCAATGCAGTGTTACATGCTCGAGGAAAAACACCTTTTTGTAAGAAGAGGTTCTCCCAATACTTAAGTGCTCACAGCACTTCTCTGAACCTCACTTCTCAGTTCATTGAACAACCAAAGAACAAGAGCTGTGCCAGGCAGGTGAAGATCTGTGCCTCCCATTTTCTGCTGTGTTGCTCTTCCAGAGCCTGAACTTCCAGCCAGTGGTGTTAGACTGGTGTCACTTCCGATGTGACAGCTCCCCAGACTGCAGCTGCACTGCAGGAGCATCAGCACTGTGATGGGAAGCTGACATGCAAGGAGCTGTGTGACTTCTCCTTCTCTGCTTGTGCAGCCAGCTCAGGACCGTGTTTCAGACTTCTCAAACTTGGCTGTATTGATCAGGCTGGTTAAATGGCAGGCTTGGAATTAGACCGAGATTGCAAATAGCTTTCCTGCTGTGCCTCTCTCCCGACCCTCGCCTTCCCGTCTTGCTGAGGTCCTTCTTGCTGAGGGAAATCCTGTCTTTCTAGCTGTTCTCCTGGTCCCTTGGGGAGCAGCTGCAGTGCACCACTGCTATTCTTAGCTGTGAAGACAGCGTGCAAGTACCTGGCCCAGCAGAGCTGGAGCTATCTGCCCAGCAGATCTCAGATAAATTATCCAGAAGATCTTGGTAGTGTGTAATTGAGTAGCTCTGCCACAGGCTGTGCTTCCAGCTATGTACACGCTGCTGTGCAGTGGGGCACAGTAATTGCTCCCTCCCTGGAAGCCAAGAGCTCTGGGTTCGTCTAAGTGATCGTGCCCTCTTCTCTGAGATTTTGGAGGGACTCCTCAGATGGACTTACCAGATTTCGTGCTTCCCCCTTTCCTGGTGGGAGGTTGCATACATCAGACAACTATCCTCCCTTGGCTATTTTTCCTGTCCTAAAGATGTTTTGCCACCTGATTTCTGGTGCAGTCTGTTCTTCTAACACAGGAATGAAAGGATCTTCAGATGCTGGGGGGTTGGGTGCCCTGGCGACATCTTGAGCAGTGACTGGCTCTGTTCAGATCTGGTGTTAATGCCTCGGGGGGTGATCTGCTTTCTAACGGCTGCTGGATCAAGGATCTCTAAGTCTTTTCTCAGCTCTAACCAAGTCACAACCTTGATTCTCCATCAGGCCTTGCCGCTGCCCTGCGATGTGCTAACAGCTACAGCAAGTCACAGGGGGATGGCCCTTGTACAGCCCAACATCCACATCTGTGAGGGATTCAGGGCAGGACATGCTGTTGCATCTCACTAACGAGTCTCACAGTTCTGCATGGCCATCTGCTTCTTGCTGGCTCTGTCTTGTCCGGCTCCCGGTGCATTCGTGCTGCTTTGTCGGCTACAGCCAGCTTGACTCTTCCCTCGCTTTCAAAGGAGAGGCTTGGCCTGGGGCCCAGCGAGAGCTGCATGTTGCACCCTGGTCCCCGAGTGTCAAAGCTGCTGGCACAGGCGCTGCTGGCAGTCAGCCCGGCGGGTCCCTGGCACCGGCGTTAGCGAAAGGCATGTGGCTGAATGACCTGACTGATGGCGCCATCTCCCTCTCTCTCTGCCCCAGATCGGCGGACCATTCTCTGCCCGGATCTTCCGTTTCCACAGACTTTGGCAGCTGGCAGATGGTGACAGGGTGTGGCAGTATTCGGGAGCAGGCAATCCTGAGCGCAGACGCCTCTCTCCCTTGCAGCTTCCCGGATGAGTTCCCTAGCGCTTGCCTGTAAGTGTCTCAAACACCAGATCTCTCCTTGGGTCTCTCAGCTGGCTGCGAGCACTGGGACTTTATCATGCTGTGTACTTTTGAAGAAGCCTCGGAGCCTGTAACAAACTCTCCCCTCTTCCCTGCCTTAATGTTCTCCAGGCACAAATCAAGTCACTCTTTGCTTATGCTGAACTCTGAAAGAAACCAGCATTTTCTCTGCCTAATGACGGGGGGCACTTTGCTTTCTGTAGGAAGAAAAGGCTTTTCTCTCTTCCCTGAATATGCTGAATTTGGGCATAATTGAGTGCATTTGAGGATGCATGCCTGTCAGGACAGGACTGGTAACCCAGATTTTCTTGCTTTTGGATCTTGTTCGTCTCCCATCTCCCTGCTGAGTTCAGATGCTTGCTGCAGTAAGAGAGGGACTTTCCTCCTGTCTCCCCGATTTTTGGCTGCCCACGCGCAGCATCATTTGCAGGTGCTGCATCTGGCCAGCGCAGAGCAGCAGAGACCCTGCGTCTTGCCTTGTAAAATGGCTGGGAGGCAGATGTTCCTCCCTAAATAGAAAGACACCTCTGAGGAAGCTTGAAAGACAGGAGATGCGCTTTAATTGCTGTTAGAGGAGAACCTCGACTTGTGCCTTCAGGCTGCAAACTCTCAATCAAGAAACTGAAATGGCTGATCAGGGGCTGCTGCTAGCAAATACTCCTATAGCTGTGCTGGAGCTGTGCTGGAGCTGTGCTGCCAAACGCTTGCGGTCCCTTACCGAGCTGTGAGTACAGGCTTTGGAGGCAGAGGGCAAGCAACGTGAAAACCAACGTCTCCTGTGAGACAGGCTGGCTGCCCTGGCTCGCCTTCTCATGTGGCTGTGTGCTGTGCTGCTGAGCAGACCAGACCAGCTGCCTCCAAGTTATGGTGAAGTTACAAGACCCATGAATTGTCAGATCAAAAGAATCACAAGAAATGTTGGACATGGCCTGGCCGGGATTTGCTCTCCTCCTTTCATGAGGACACACAGCTGGTCTCCTGCAGTTGTTTGGGGATGGATGAGAGAGCAGAAGGGTTTGAAGGATGGATATCTGAATTAGTGACTGCTTTACTGTGCCCTGAACCTGGCTGTGCTTGGTGGCTGCTGATCACCAGCGAGTTGTTGCTGCCCTTGGAGTTGGATCTATTGTCCGAACAGGGAATTCAGTCAAGAGAAATGGGAATTGAAGTCGAGCTCTGAATCTGCCTGTGCTGAGACTGTAGGCTCGTGCCATTTGGAGTCCAGCTGCTTGAGACAGCCGGGTTCAAAGGGAAGGGAACAGTGGTGGTGCTTCTCCATTGGGTGTGCAGCAGATGCTGTGAGTGTTTTGCCCTGTTCAGCTCTTCACTGGATCTGTGAGGTGCTCAGGGGCTGGGGACTGCTTGGCTGCGGGTGCTGGGACCAGCTGCTGTTTGGAAGGGATGAAGAGTTCCCAAGGATGTTGTGTTGAGCTTGACCCAGAGCCTCCACTCTCTCTCTGCTCTGCATCAGCTCTGTTTGCTTAGGAGCCCTCTGTTTCTATCCCAGTTTTTCGCAGCCCAGCACAGTATGAGTTTTTGGAAAATTAAATTCCATTTAAGTTCCCACTTTACATCTCAGCTGGCAGCAGCTCGATGAAGGTACGCTTTTCACAGCCTACTTCCTTGTGCTTGTGTGGGGCTTGTCAGGGCTCACTTCACGCTGGGGCTTTGACAGCCTCCTCTCATCCTGCACCCCAAGCTGCAGGCGAGCGGGCAGGCTGTAGGAAGTGTAGCGGGGCAGAGTGCCGTGGGTTTGGCAGGGAAGCACAACCTGCCTCCCTGCTTGAACTGCTCAGAGTGAAATGGTGCAGCCGGTCTGCAGGGCTTGGTGTCGAGCAGAGCTCAGCCACTTGACCCTGTGCCTTAGAGCATCTCACTCCGTGAAACAAACCTGAAAGTCTAAAATTTGCCCTGTGAAGAGGTGCGAGAGCCAGAAGACACGGGACCTAACTGCTGCGTACCCTCGCTTACCTCTGCGTGTGAGATTTAAGATCACTGTACTCGGGTGCAAGTAAGTCCTGCTTTCATGTAGCTTATTTTTAATGCTAGCAGGTTTGCGAGTTCCACGCCCTAATTAGGTTGCCAAAAAAGCGTATTTTTAATGTGTTTAGATATGTTGCCTTTTTTCCTTTGCCCTCTGGCTTCTCTTTATTATCAGAGATTGTAAACAAGGGCCCGGTTGGCTGCCTCGGCATCGCTTGCTGTTTATAGGCCTCCCACCATATCCTCTTGCTGCTGTTTCCGGACCGAAGCTGTTGGCTGTGGGTGGTTAACACTTCCATTCAAATGAGCTGTGCCAATTTATAGCCAGCCCAGGCACTGGAGAGATTAAAGAGAATTTTTTATGGGGAAGGTTCGCGCTGTGCCCTTGGAGTGACCTTTGAGGAATGGTTTATTCTCTCTGGGAACCACCAGTGTGCCGCAGCAAGGACCGTTTCAGGCCGGAACGCTTGAAACAGCCACCTCTGAACCTTAGTCTTGCTTCCTCCTGCTCCTTCAGTTGAAATATCGCCTTCCCTCCTCTCTTTTTCCCCCACCCCTAACCAGGTGCGTGGATCAGCTGGAGAGGAGGGCAGGTCCTGGGGGAAGCCGTGCCCTACTCTGCAGCAGCCCTTCTGCGTGCAGAGAGCAGCCGTGCTGGGGAGCAGAAGTAAAACACCGCTCAGCTCTCCACTTTCCATGGCTGGAGCACTCCTTGGGACTGCTGTCACCTTGTCTGCCCCCTCTCATCCCCCCCTTCCCCAAAGCTGTCTGTGCTGCCACAAGGGCGAGAGGCTGGGGCCAGTGGGAGCGAGGGACAATCGCAAATAGGTTGGAAGCGACTGTCCAGGCGCGGCACATGTGGACAGGCTCCATCTGGGAACGCTGTGCGAGGAGGGGAGGGAGCCAGCGCCAGGGCTGACGTCAGCCAGCACCCACTCGGCCAAAGCAGCACTTTCCGTGTGAACTGCGGCCTTCTGAGCACCGTGGTGGTGGGAGAAACTGGGGGGTGGTGAAGGAGAAGACCTTGGGGTCCATGGGAGAGTGTGGGGTTGGGTTGGCCGAGGAGGCAGTGGCACCGGTTGCTGGAGCCAGAGCCTCTTAGGGCTGGCCCTGCCTTGGCCACTGGACCCCACTGAGCCCCACGGCCCTGCTGGTGCCATGGACAGAGCCTCAGCCCTGCTGCCACCCTCCTGCCCCCTGCCAAGAGCCAGAGCTGGGCTGAGGAGAGGGATGGCTGCAGTCGCTGACCTCCCCCTTCTCTCTCCTAGG